TCTATTTATCAATATTCACTGTAAAAATACAACTATTATAATTTAAAATTGTAGACAATAGAATACGACATATCAGTCTTTGCTACACTCACACAATAATCTAATTTAATAGCAATTGTTCTCAAGTCAACTTCATGTCGCAAGGAAATGAGGTCATCACTTCAGATCTCTCAGGTCATGTTTTGACAGTTGGGCCAACCAGAGTTTCCATGAATATGTTACAGCGTATAGTTAAAATTCAAATGCTTTATTCATAGCTTGAAATGATATTAACCCACTACAACAGCTATTGCGAGTGAAATAGCAATGCAAATACTTCAATTCCCATTTTATAAGAACAAACATGAACACCTGTGTGCTCGGTGGATTTCACATTAAACATGGGATAGATATTCCAATTTGTTATCTTATAACTTTCCCTTATACTTCCGACTTGTGATCATCTAAAACGAAGGGAGACATTCACCTTTATATCTCAAGCTCATTTTAACATACCCCGTAGGATATATATTAGTATAATTGAAATGAATCAACCAAATACACAAGAAATATTCTGCCATCATAATTGTCGGTACCAGTACATTGTTCATAAAATTGAAAAGTTGTTTCCACTTTACTGAACCGACCTGAACAAATGTCATCAGAATGCAAATTACTTGCTGTGATACAGGAATATATCCTAGTAATTAAGTTTGTTTACATTTTATGCAGAACTGCGAGCGGTTGGTGACAAATTGTTATGATTAATGTACGGGCATGCACAAGACAAATCAAATCAGTTACACAGGTGAAATTAAACTTTCGTGTATTTCTTTTAATGCCATTTCTTGTTTTCCTCAAACTACATGAAAGTTTCAATCACCTCTTTGAATTATTTTAACTCAGCAGGCCTTGAATGACCAAAATTATTCTGAATTCAGTGAATTACTTTGTTTTAGCTGTAATCTATTTTCCTGAAATCTGAATTGGTTGAACACATTGTCATTTATTTTCACTGATATTATTATACATCAAGCACTGAAAACAGAATTCACCATTCAGTAAAGAGATGTATTCGCATTTATCCAAAAAACCATATCTGTACTTGTTCCAATGTTCCCTTTATATGAGGTAAACTACATCACCGCCATTCAACACTTTCCAGGTAATGGATATCACATTTGAACACTTTTCAATGTATACTCTGGTCGTGGAAGTTCTATATCACGTAAATCCCTGGATATAAATGTTTGCATAACGCAAAATGTTTTTCTTTGACATTTTAGCTATTATCTCTCACTAAATTATTTATTTTTATCAGGCAGTATGAGAACACATTGACTTCAGCTAAGCGTCCGTTAATGTGATCGCAGATCTGGTTTCATGCATAATTTGCTGTATTTTTGTATGAACAAAATCAAAAGTTACAATCATGTATTGTATAACACCAAACTTGGATGCTCAAATACAATATTTGCTTTTTCAGAAGCACATGCGCTTATGTAAATGAAAGAGGAGGTGTGTCAATGGCCAACACAAGTCACAATAAACACAGTATTTTATATTTCCCCCAAATATTTTTTTTAATTAGATTTTAATATTCATCATGGGCAATTCATTTATATTATAGGAGGAACACAGACTTTCACATAATCAAACCACAAAAAATATACCATATTTGTTCTATTAGTAGCACATACACTTACATAAATTACATAAATTTTTCCATGGTCAGAATAAATAATATTTTAATGATTTTGTATAAAGCCAATGCAATTTTTGGTTTATATGCGATTCTAATAGAACAAATATGGTAAGCATTTATAAAGCACTCACCCTAGCATGGTAATCAACAGTGACTGCATGCCACATGCCATCACTGACACCCCCAGCAATGGAAGCAGTAACTCTGGCCGTGGTTCCACCAGTAGAAAACGAGAACTGCAGCTGACCATTGATGATCTCCAATGCAATGAAATCATGTCTCTCATTATACCGTCCATTATAGAATAGTAAAGCATTCTTGCTTAACGTTGCAAAGCTGCAAATAAGAATAGTTTATAACATTAGTGTCATTTCAGAAATAATCTCCTTCAGTATTTGTGCGGTGAAAAGCAGTAAATGTAATGAAAATTACACTATTCATTGGCTTAGCACAGTTTACAACTTAGTAGACGTATTGACTACCATTTCATGAATTTTCGATTTAATGTTGCCCGATGAACCAAAAAACTGGACTACATTAGCAATGATACTCTGCACAATATTAATATTTCAAAGACAAGTATCCCACCCTAGTAATCTCCTCACAATATTGACACTAACAAGTCTTCTAATGCCACAGAAATTTAGCCCAAAATAATTTAATGAATGTACAGGGGATTCATTTTCCCCACACACGTCTAATTTACTTATAACATGCCTCCATGATTCGCAATTAAGTTAACAAGATTGTTGCCCCCTAAAGAAAGAGTACATCTTTGATAGCGTCCATCAATGCTTGGGATCCTCTTGGGCATTGCAGATAGCTAGGGACGGTCAATTCAGAATACACAAATCTAACATAAGATTAATAACTTGGGAATCTACCTACTGGTCATCTCATTAAATGCAAATCAGCCTTGGGATGCTGTGAAGAGTGCGAAGGCTGTAGCAGAATACACAAGTATACAGGCTTTCTATGTCATATAATAATTGGAAGGGAAACAATCAGCATTGCTATGGATATCGACTTGTCTTGCAGGCAACTTCCAATTAATCTCACACAGATGGAGCTTCTTAAAATGTGGTTTATTTGTGAAATGTGTGCTTGAAAGTATTGAATGGCTGGCATGGTATGCATGCACTTTAGCTTTGTTTTCAGCTACACTAAGAAAGTCAAGGCTAAGTCCACAAGATGGTTCAGACAAAATTAAGATTTTATAACATTTATATTCTTTCAATTTGGGGGTCAACAGACATTATTTTACAAAATATTCTAATGATGGTATCCTGTTTTGAGTCTCCCTATCTTGCGCCTCTATGGGATTTTAATGACTTCCTGATACAAGGATGCAAGTCACTGACACGCAAAGTAAACAACATTTTTAGCTTAGTGTCACTTAAAAATTATTTCATATAAAGCTAATATGAATTCAGAAGACCAGAAATATCAACTGATACAAACAGCTCAAAAGAACTAATTTTAAATTCACGTATAATATTAATTACAATATAATATCTAAAGAAGCAAAGGTAGATAGATAACGGAGTATTTTTGAAACATATTTAAATAGTGTTGTTTGATGTTGAATCTTGATTACAGCATTATGGTATTAGGGTGCATATATGTACAGGTAATTTCACACTACAAGATCACCAATAAATATTTTCTTCTATGCTATCAGTAAGAAGCCATTACCTGAAATGTCTAGCTATTTTGAATAATTACTTAGGACACATTACACATGCTTCAAAATAAAAGATTATTATAAGACATTTGCTAATAAGTGATCATGTCAACTATTGAGTAGGGTAGCCGAGATGGACATTCATGCATTGTTATATATCTTTTTCTGTATGTAGTCACAATTTATAGAGCCTGAAAATTACAAGGTTTGTTCCTGTGTGTCAAGTGACATGATTCAATTCTGTGACACAATACACACAGTTACTATGTCTGATGTAAACAAGGAGAGTTTTCGCACATTTTCCAAATTAAAAAAGACGTCATAACACATTTTATAACAGTTGCACTTTTTTTAACACATACATGTTTTTTTTGAATGACTAAATTCTACTGTTTTTGCTGCTTAGAGTACAATAATAAATTCTCCCCACTGTAAATATACATGAGTATGAAGACTTACCTAAGTGCAATTGTAAGTCTAATTCGATTCAGTAATGCTGAAAATGTTACAAATGATCCAGCTGGGAAATGCCGTGTTGTAACTTCACAGAATTTCCCATCATATTCTTCTCCAGGTGGACAGAAACAGTTGAACCCTCCCACCATGTAGTTCATACAACTTCCACCATTTCGACATATACTACCACCCTCTGAACAACGACCTTCAGTTAAACTTATTTCACAGTTAACACCTGTAAAAATAATAAACATTAAAAGAATGAGGAAAATGATTTGACAGTCACATGCCCGGAGTTGGCCATCATTCCCCACACCACAAGCACTCTAGAAATTGATAATACTCTTTGTTTGTCTTTCCATAAAGATAATTATTTTATTATAGAGAATTATTATCAACAAATGTTATTACTAATAATATTTCAATATTATAGCAAACACGCTTTCAAGTTATATTAATACAAATATATATTTTTTTTATATATTAATATAATTATATTAATATAGGGAGGGGTAATGAGGTAATTATTTACGAAGGTACTTGTGAATCAAATATGTAACAAATTAGGATTAGTTGAATCAGGTCTGATTCATAGCTAAGTGACCTGCAGTTCATTTTTATGATGTTAATTTTACAGTCTGTTCACACCTTTTTGCATCTCAATAGCAGAACATAGCAAAGGTCATACCTTGAAATATACAGATAGGAAGGTTAAGAGACATCTACATTATTTGAAATTCCCAAGGCACCCATGAAGATGTGAAATGACATTTTCTTACATACTTGAATGCTTGACGTGTCATTTCAAGTATGGTGATAGGCTCAGGGCATTATTGCGTTGTGAAGATGGCTTAAATAACGTACTGGTGTACTGCGTATATGGCTTAAATAAAGTAATGATATATTGTAAATATTGTTTAAATAATGTATTGAATATGGTTTAAACTTGCATTCCTTTTTGTAAAATATTTGTGAAATATCACTCCAAGAACAAACAGCAAACAAAATGTGTTAACAAATAATGTACTGACATAAGATATACAGTGTTATTTGGCATATGGCTCTAATATACACTGACATAAAGGGTACAGTGTTATTTAGCATACCTGGCTCAAATAATACACTCACATAAGGGGTACAGTGTTAATTAGCATATATTGCTCAAATAATATACTGACATAAGGGGTACAGTGTTATTTGGCATAAGGCTCAAATAATATACTGACATAAGGGGTACAGTGTTAATTAGCATATATGGCTCAAATAATATACTGACATAAGGGGTCAGTGTTCTCCACAAGGGGTTTTAGGTGGGCGGCCCGCCCATCAAGTTTTACGGCCGCCTAGTAACTCTCAACACCCGCCCACCAACGTACATCCAGCTGAAATTATTTGTAAAAAGCTTGCATTGTTCTTCCCAAGCCTAAACAAAAGAGTAGTTGCTCAACCCTTTATTTTGCTATTGTTTCAAGAGTCCAAACATAAACAATGACCACTGGAAGTCTGCAAGCAGTTATCAAGTGTATTCATGGCAATGTGTCAATCGCCTG